CATCTAATGATGGTCTTTTCTCTTCAATAGGTACAAATTCATCAGATCCATCACTATAATGCATAGTAGTAAGATGCTGTATAGGTTCTTCATCTGGGTTGGGTGCTAAACTGGTTGAAGCTGTTTGTTTTTCTGGCTGATCAGTCAGGAAATGTTTCATGTCATGCTTGCTTTTTTCTTCAGCATCGCTTTCAGTTGTGTCTTTCTTTATCTCTTGAACGGTATCTTCCCGTGTTTTTTTCGGCTCTGTGCAGGGTTCAGATCCCATTCGTGTTGATATGGATGGTATTTCGTCCATTTCATTGCTGTCAATTTGCTCTATTGGTTCGAATTTTGTGATGAGCTCGAGACGGGACAATGGTTTTTCTTTTTTTTTTGTGAGTTTTTTAGGTGTCTGAAACTTGTTATGATCTGCTATTAATTCATCAAATCCTTCTGTATGATATTCACTCTTTTTAGAGTATGTTAGTTCTTCCCTCGGTTGCATGGCAAAACTTGTTGAAGCTGCAAATTCTTTATGTCTGCTTGATGTAGCATAATCCATGTATTGTTGTTTTTTTCGCGAATGTTCACTCGTAACTTCTATGTTTATAGTGTTATCCTTGACGGTTGGTTTTTCGAATATGAAAGGCATTACTTGTTTGGTACGATCACTGAGATCACCCATAGCGACATGTTCTCTCAGTGAATCAGTATGCAACTCAGGTGTTATGAGTGTCAACTCAGATGAACCTTCTTGAATCTCTTCAGACAGATATTTGATAAAAGGTTCTTCTTGATTAAATGTTTCTGCAGTGAATTTTGTGCTCAGAGGTTTGTATTCTTTTTCTATTCTGAATGGTTCCGGGAAAGCTCCAGATTTATTTTCTGGTTCACCAATATTTTTGGTATCATGAAGGCTGCATACATGCCCTTTTTGTTTTTCTCTGGCTTCTGTTTCGAAAGGCGGACCTTCCACTTGTTCTTGATCTCGTCTTTCTCTATTTCCTGCTTTTGCTTTTGTTGGTCGACTTTCTTGAGAAATATTCCGATCATACCACGAATATTCATCAGATTGTATACAAAATGGTCCTGAAAAGCGTACAGTATATGATGATTTCAATCTTCCTGGTGATTGTATTGTTCGCTGCCGTTCTCCTTGTATTTCTTGTTGAATTTTCGGGTCTATTTTAGGGTCAAGATATACTGTATGTTGACCATCTATTGATGTTTTCTTGTAAGCTCCTGAAAATTTAGCCACAACGGTGGAAATTTCTCGGCTAATCCTTTCTTCATGAAGAACTTCCTCTTTCGGTAATGGTGGCTTTTTATCGCATCTGTTAACATAATGTTCAAGTGGCTCTTGACTGATCTCAGTTGCTCGGCTGGTAGATGCAACAGTTCCTTCATATGCTTCATAGTCATGTCTTATGCGACGTGGTTCATCATCTTCCAGCAATCCTTCGATTTCTACACTTGATATTTTTTCAATGCTTGCTAAGTCTTCGCTTTCGTTGGATGCCAAGTCGATATTTACGGTATTTACGCATTCATTACTGTCTACTTCTTTGCTTTGAGATTCTTTCTTCCCAACCACCACGTACAATGAATCTTTCTTTTTGAAGTGCTCCTCAACAACATTTAAGTCATCAAAATTCACAATTTCGTAGTCTAAAGGAGATTCCAAAGACTCCTGTGGTTCAGTCATTTCTTCTGATTCCACTCTTAATCCTTCATCATCATCAATTTCAATAAAACTATATGTGGTCGTGGTTGTTGTAATCATTGTTTTCACCACTGATTTTGCTAATTTTCCTGCCGCGTTGATACCAGTATAAAGCGGAACTCCGTCGATAGTAACACCGCTAATCACTGGCACGCTTTCAGAATCCTCTAGTTGCACTGTTGTGTTCGAAACCCCTTCTTTTTTGGCTATAAGCATTAAGTAAGACAAGGATAACGAAGCAAATGGTAATAACTAGTTCAGTTTTGTTCAAATAAATACTTGGGGAATGTGCAGTAGTATTAGAGTAGTTATTAAAATAATACTATTTTTACATACACTATCTACCATTTTACATTTCGTTACTTCTTTACTAAACTACAGTTTTTAATCTGAGCTACCTGAAAAATGATCACATACCTCAAGTACAAGCGTTGAATGTAAAGAAAAAACGTCTGTTGAATGACTTAACATTATTTCAAGAAAAAGTTCCAGAATTTTGTACCTCAGAGAATATAAATGGAAAAATATGAAATTTATAGAGTTAATTTATGTTCGTTAGAGAAGAATTATCATAATTTACTTATTGGTGTTAAAACATCCACTGGTAACTCAGCACCAACTGGCATAGGAATCATTTGTACACGTTCTGTGGTAGATACTGTCCTTGAACTAAAAGAATGCGTCGTTCCGCTTTCATCATCCCGTCGCGGTGAAAGTTCGGTAAGCTGTCGTCGCGTTACAGACCAAATTGGGCTTTGAGTACTTCTTCCTCAAGTACAATGAATATAACAAAATGAAGAATACTGAATAATGATATTAGAAGATAAATAACGATGTTATACTACTACTGATGTCAATTTATGAATATATGGTTAAATATATGTGAAATAGAATTTCATACAGTATTTTAGAATTTCATATAGTATTTAATTCTTTAATTCACAGACTCTGTAAGAAAACAGAACAAAAAATACATGAAAAATTAAATGAACAATAGTGTGCTACAAAAAGTAACATTCATTTTTTGCACAAAATTTTGATTGAAATAATTAATTTACAAATTGAAGTCGAAAGAACAAAGAAAACATTTTTGTAGTATGTCTTGTTGAATCTTAACATAAATATAATATGCATTATTGTACATATTATATATGTATATTATTTATAATAAGATATACACGTATAACAACGATAAGAAAACGGCCAAGAAAACTGGTAGTTGAAATATTGAAAGCATAAAAAGTTTGACTGAATTTAAAAAATTTGTAAACAGAATCTTCTTGCATTTCCATGAAATGAATATCATTTGATTTTGTAAAAATATTTTTAACATGAAAGCACGTATTTTTTAGAGAGAATTTTAAGTTCTTATTATTATTTATATAGCTCTCATATGAATGGAAAACTGTTCACCTGTACGCTGAGAGATCTTCGTCTTTCCATCTTTGGACATGAAGCCTCTGAAACATATAACGATTAGTCTGTTGTATTGAATAAGAAGCACAGGACAAAACGTTTCTCAAATAAACTTTCATTTTCAAAGTTAATTACAGTAGAAAACATAGAGGAAGTATTATACACAAGTAATAGGTATAAAATTCCACTTGAGTTCCAGTTTTTATTACACAAATAAAATATCATTTTTGTTCTTCACCAATACAAAAATGAATTAAAATATTCTTTTATATTCTGATAATAAAGAAACTGCAACATTTCACACATCCCTTCGAAATCTCACATTCACTAAAAAATTATGGTATAAAAGATTTTAGATTAAGTGACATCACCATTTTACAAAACCTTTTCATAAAAGCTGTTAGCTTTCGATGTATTTTTGTATTGAATGTGAGATTTCGAAGGAACAGATTATATGTATTGTATATAATACAAAATTTACTTTCGTATTTTTTGCATTTATGCAAGTTACAGAACTGTCATCAAAGTCTTTTGATGCAGAGACTAGTCAGAAATAAAATATGAACTGTAAATTTTTTGTATTAAAAATCGAATACAATTAGAATGAGTCATGGCCTTTCTGTAGAGTGAATCAGTAAAAATATTCTAGCCGGATATATATAATGAATTGAAGTTCGCTATGTTTAAAAGAAAATTTTCAATATTTCAATAGTTGAAAAGATACGCTGTATGAGGTATCAATGAAGTCTTGAAAAATTAAGACATGTTATTACTGCATTAATTTCTTGTTAACAGCCTCATTTGTCAAAGCTTATTATGCTTTTGATACTTACAAAAATGCACAGATTAAGAATAATCATGATCAAATCAAGAAATAATACTGAATGAAATAAGAAAAGCTTCAAGAATAAGTAGCTTGTGTCCTCGTTAAATTATTATTATTACTAGAAACAAGTTCATAGTTGTTGTCATTTTCATTCCTTATTTTTTGCTCACACTCTAATGGTACATATTACACTATACATATTACACAATTATTAAATTATTATTATTGTTAAAAGTTATTAATTTCACCAAATATCGTTAAAACATAAATATTTTTAAAATCAAACAAAATCGTTGAAAGTTCGATTTGTTGAAAGATGAAAATTCCTTTTCAAACAAAAGTTTATACAACTCAAAAAATAAACATTTATAGACAAATAGATATTACTTAACGAATTTAAAAAAATAAATGGAACTGACTATGTGATAAATGCATGAAGTGAAAATACTGACAATATTCGTAACTATGGGAACATTCAGAAGAAATTATTTTTTTTTCGTATTACACTATACAAAACACTTATTTATTAAATTATTAAATTGTTTTTCATAAGCAAAGTTTAATGAATTGTCCGATTTACTTCAGATTCAACATTTGTAATTACGCTCAAGAATGAATGAAACAATTACAGACGTAAAGAAACAAAAAGTGTGAATCAAAATAGTCAACTTTGAATACAGACAAAAAACTCACTAATTAAAGCTGAAATATTTGCTTACTGCCTAACCAAAGTAAATTAATTTGCCTTGCTCAGCAAAATCTCTGGACAATATAAATGCTGCATACGAATTCAATATGCAATATAATTGCTTAATTACTTAACACTGAAGTATTATCATCGAGAAAAATACCGTTATGAAAAGTAGATTAATAATTAACTGCAGAGTAAAATCTCAAGCTCTTGTAATTACTTATATAGTAGCATGCAGAATCTATTCCAACGAGTTTCAGTCATTTACTTGGTTATAGTATAAGATGAATAAATTTAGAAAAGGAACTTGATTAAGTCTTAATTGTGAATCCAGATCAAGTATTCAAAAGATAATTGTAATAATCTTTATTTTTTTTGAAAACTTGCAAAAATTTTCTAATAAATGAGATTGCTATTAATAATAAAATAAAAAAGTTTATAAACTAAAAATCTAAAAAAAAAGGCTTAATATGAATGACTGATATAAACAACTCATAGTATATTGTCGCATGACTTACTTACTCGTGAATTGTTTTAAATTAGCAATTTGTTTTAAATTCATTTCAAATTTAAAGTGATTTTTAAAAACAGTCAAATTAATGGCATAAATAAGATTTTTCCGTCTTTATTAGATTATTTTAATTTAACTTTGCATCGCATAAGTTTTAATAAGCAATGTTTTTTCCTTTGATCTTTAAACATTAAGTTATTTGAAGATCGAAAATAATTTGTTATCACAGAATTTAAAAAATCAACTGAAACTTTCCATAATGACTTTTCGTACTCATGGAAATCAAATTAACATATCTTACTAGACGTATTCAAATTTCTTCAAATAAAAAATATAAATAGTCCAAAGTTTTTAAAATAATTGACTTAATATTTTAAAAAGTGGCTTATTTCTTCTTGGAGTGATGAATCACAAATATGAAAACGAAGATTTTTTTAAATAAAGGATATAGAAGACAAATTATGGAAGCCTAGTAAATTCCAATCTATGAAAATGATCCAATATTTTGTGGCATTAAAAACTCAATTTTCATGCAGTTTATATGATTGTTTTAAGACGAGAAATATAGAACCAATTCTGAATGCTTAGCAAAACCCAATCTATAAGAATAATCTAACATTTTTTAGCATTAAAAAACTCAATTATTATGCAGTTTATATGAGTAGAATAAAGTTATAGAAAAACTATAAATGAAGGGGATGAAAGCATAGAATCTTATCTTGTTCAATTTTTCATAAAAACTTATTTCTACTTATTTAATAATAACTGAACTGAAAATAATTTCGTTATTTAATAATAATATTCTTTAAAAATAAGACAAAATTTGATGAACAAATTTAAAATTTAAAAATTTGAATTTATATTCATAAAATAAAAATTTGAAGTACTCCTCTGAAAATTAACTAAACTGTCAACTTTGTACATTCTGTGAAAATTACTTAACACTATTAAAAACAGTTTTTATTTATTTTAATTCTAGAATTAATCATTCTAGAATCTATGAAGCAAAAAAAAAAGCATTCAAAAAACTGAGATCGAATTTGAAATAAATCACTGAAACGAAAATTCTATTTGATATCAAAATTCAATGTAAGAACTGCACAATAGTGTGCTCAATTAGTTAATGCCAATTCTAATGCGATTTATAGTAATCAGGAGGCTTTAGCTAGTCTATGAGCACAGTTCCACGCATAACCTCACGTTTTTTTCTAAGATTTAAAAGTTTTAAAAATTACAAACTTTTATGTTGCAATATACATGACATATCATTTTTTTATTAAGTTGAATTAGAATTCAAATAACTACGTCAACTTGTTGAAATTATTAATGGATAAATATAGTTTATTGATGCCAAATAATATCGAAACTGGATTGCAAAACATGAATCTAATTAAATTCTAAAAAAGTAAAATTTGAATAATGTTAATTAAGCAAACAAAACATAAATTGGAGGAATAGGTCCTGCACCGAAAATGAATTTATTCAGTTAGTTTCTGTGAATCCAATTTCAGTCACCCCAAAATAGATTCATGAAATTAATTATTTTGAATGATGAAGTAATAAATGTGAAAAAACAAAAATCATTTATTACTCACACAAAATTAATGAATTAATATGCTTACTTGGCATTCAGCAACAATTACAGCAAAAAGTTTGAAATGATGATTTAATATTAAATAAATGGTCAAAAGTCAGAGTTAGAATAGCAAATTTTGAATTTAGAAAGTTTTCTAAAGTTCAGCAATGAAATTCAGAAAAACTGAAGTCACAAAAAATTACTTATTGTTAGAAAGCATTGAATTTGTAGCATTATCAACGCAATATGAAGTTTGAATATCAGTGACTCTTTACTGATATTATCCGAAGAAAAAATATTGACATGGTAAGAGTAAAAATATTTAAATTTTTGAAAAAGTCTTGAAATCGACAAATGATTTGCTGATCGCTTCAGATCATTGAAAACTTACCTAAAAGATTTTATGATATTCGAAGTGATCTAAATATCTTGATTATTCTTGATAATTGAATAATTCGTAAATAAATGACGCAAGTTATAATACAAGAACTTTTCTAAGACTCTTAGAATTCAAAATTTCCAAAAACTTTGAAACGTTCAGAATTTTTGTTATAAAAGAATATTTTATAAGCTACTATAAACTTCAGTATAAGAAATAAATTTCAAAAAGTATAAAAATTAAAAAGTATACCATAAATTAAACAGTATTTCAGAAATGTTATCAATCAGTCTAACTCTCAGTGAAGAAAAGCCACAATTGATATTAATTGATATTAATTTTAAATATCAATTATCAAAAATATGACCAAAAAGAATGAGCGCATTCATCCATATTATTATAGAAGTTAGTTTTAGTCATTACAGTGTGAGCTGAAAATAAAAATTCAACTACTTCGAATTACTTCAAAATTCATGAGTAATGATTTACGTTAAAAAATGTATCACACAAACCAAGAAAAAATCAAGAAAAATCAAAAAATCAAAATAACTCTTTGTTTTTTTAACTGGAAAAATTACTGCATAATTTTTATACAGTGAAATTTTTTATAAATTTATAAATTTTATAAATTTTGTTTTCAGATATTAGTTGAATGTAATTGCATTTGTATAGAAGTAAAAGTAACACAGTGGTTTTTTTTCTAATTTTTAGAAGATTCCTTCTGGATTACTTTTCAAGTTTTGTTCAAAATTATTCTTTTCTCTAAAATTGCAATAATTTTTTGAGCATTGTATTTCAAGCAGGAAACTACTGGCAGGTACTGATGAGTTCGTCATTGAAACGATAAGTGATTGCTGCGAGAAGAGTATGTAAGGGTTGAAGGCTGGTCGTTGCCAGCGTTCACAATGTGAACAACTACATATAACCATGAAATTTTGTTGTTTTCTATTTTTTTTTAAGAAATAATCGAAAAATTGATTTGGATTAGAAATATGGATCAGTGAGAAGTAACAGATTCAATGCATATGGTACAATAGAAGTGTAATTTATACCT